ATCTTCTAACACTATACTAAACAGTGTTCTTTTGAAATTCATAATGTTTCCACAGACCAGTCTTTTTTAGAAGTAGATCAACAGGGCCTTCTTCCTAGTCTTTCTTAGTCTGGAAGCTCCACTGAAACCTGTTCACCATGGGTGATCCTGCTAGTATTTGATATACTGGTGACATAACCTTCCAGTCTCATAATAATGGAGTCTTGAGGTGGCACACTGTAGGATAAGCACTCAACCGCAAGGTTGGTTTGAACCACAAGGAATGAGGGAGGAGAAGATACTGACCCTATTATAGGGCCTTGTGGATCATGGGAAGGACCTAAGATTTTATTCAAAGTCTAAGAGAAGTCCCAGGGTTTAGAGCAGAGGAATGACATGATCTGGCTTACAATTTAAAAAGAAAATTCTGGCTGCAGGTTGAGAGAAAAGATTCTAAGGGACCAAGGATAAAAATAAGGAAATCATCTATAAAGCTATCATAACAGGGCAGGTGATAGGGGAGCAGATAAGGCATAATTAGATTCAATTAGTTTGAAAGTAGAGCTGATAGGATTTGCTGGTGATTGGCTGAACGGTGTGGGGCATGGGAACAAAGGAAAACTTCAAAGCTTTTGGTCTAAGTAAACGGGTGAACTTTAGAACCATTTACTGAGATGGAGCAAGCTGCAGAGGGAGATGCTGGAACTATGGTTCTGTTTTGGACATGCTTGGTTTGCGATACTTACTGGAACCTAAGGGGAGATATTAAGGTAGACAGCTGGAGGTGCAGTCCGAAGTCCAGAGCACAATTCTTAGATAGACCATAAATTTGGGAATCATTATCATACAGAGGGTGCTTAAAGCCATAGGACCACCAAGGAAATGAATGTAGATAGGATTATCTATCACAGGAGTAACTAGGTCTGCAAACTGAGCCTGAAAGCACATTCAGCATTCAAAGATTGGGAAAAGGAGGAGAATCTTAGATTTTATTCAACAAAGGAAACTAAGGATGAGCAGCCACTGAGACGGTAGGAAAACAAGGAGCACGTGGTAGCTAGAAAATCAAGTGAAGAAAATGTTTCAACAATGTAAACAGTGAATATGAACTGACCATTTAGCAATACGGAGATCATTTGTGATTGGAACAAATGAAGGCCAAGTGGCAGTGGTGTGTTGAGGTGAAAACCTGATTAGAATGGATTCAATAGGAAATGGGGGGAGGCAGGAAAACAATACCAGAAAAGGAGAAAGTAAGACAATAAGTATAAATAACTCTCACTGCTTTTGAGATTTGCTATAAAAGAAAGCAGAGATATAAAACATAGCTGGAGAAGGTTATCCGGTCAAAGGAAGTTTTCTTTCTTTTTTTTTTTTATTTATTTATTTATTTATTTATTTATTTATTTATTTATTTATTGGCAATGAATTTTCTTTTATTTGAAGTAGCTATTTTTTTTTCAACTTTTTATTGTGAATTGAATGAATGTTTACAGCGCAGATCATCAGTTTTACATTCAGCAAATCGTATACTTTGCTTCAATACATGGTTGCAAGGCCCTCCATTAACAGTATTTACCTCTATTCAGTTTAACTATTACACTCCTCTTGTGTCTCCACTACCTATATATTTCCTCTGCTAACCTCCCTCTTGTATATTGCCTGCCTTGTCACCCATGTGAACATTTGTCTAGCCTCTAGCCCATGAATAATTTTACTGAGCATAATGACTTTGGACTGAGAACCAACAACAGCAGACAACAACCTGAGATTACCATACATGACAACATCACCCAGAACTCAATCCAGGTCTAGAAGGATTTAAAGTAAAACAAAAAATAAGACTGAAAATAGGGAACCAGAGATAACAATGTATAATGAAGTCAACTACAAAGCAAGAAGAGAGAATGGGTAGATACAGAACTTCTGAATGGCAAGGAAGTCAAGTAGATTTCATGATAAAACAGGTTGTTTTAAGGCGGAAAAAAAATAATAAATTACAAGATAACCTCAAAAAAAACAATATACCTGCACATCATAAAAAGAAAAGAAAATTAGAAAGATTTAGTACACATTAATACAACAGAAATGAAAATGACAAGAAAACCCACAAACAAAATGAACTTAGCATAAAAAATTATGTGGAACAAAGAATCCAGCAGCACCACACACACACAAAAAAAACCACACACAGAAAAATGACACCAATCAATTCATACCTATTGATAATTATGCTGAATGTAAATGGGTTAAATAAATATATCAGACAAGAGACAAAAGAGAACAGAATGGATAAGAAAACAGGATCCTTCAATATGCTGTCTACAAGAGACATATAAAAATGATGGAGACAGCCTAAATGCCCATCAACAGAAGAACGGTTAACAAACTTTGGTACATACACACAATGGAATACTTCAAAATGTTGAAGGATAATGATAAATCTGTAGAACACCTCACAGCATAGTTGAACCTTGAAGACATTATGCTGAGTAAAATCAGTCAATCACAAAAGGACAAGTTTTACATGAGACCAATGTTGTCAGAATATGAAAAAAAAATTTTTTCTTGATAAAAGAAACACTGATGGTTGCGGAGGATGCAGGGAGGAAACAGCATATTTGAAAGCAGATAAGAATGACCCAGTAGAGAGAAAAAATGTGATGATGCAAGAGAAAAAGGGAGTGTAATTATAAGAGTAAAGTCTCAGTGGGTGATAGGGGATGGGATCCAGGCACCAGTGGAGAGGCTGGCGTTAGGATCAGTGACAGGTCACTCATGGTAACTGTAAGGGAGGCAAAGGATGTGCTGATCAGGTTTGGGAGAGAAAACAGAGAAACTCCCAATTGCTCCTATTATCTCAGAGAACTAAGAAACAAAGTCATCAACTGAGAGAGAAATATGTAGGGGGGAGGTTGTTGTTGTTATGTGCCATTAAGTCGATTCCAACGCATAGGGACCCTGTACAGTTTCCAAGGAGAAGCTGGTGACCTTGAACCACTGACCTTGCAGTTCAAATGACTTTAAGGAGAGAGGAAAAGTTGTGAAATCACCATCTGAAAGAGCTGGTAAGTGAAGCAACTAAGGAAATGTAGTATAATTGCTGTTGGTCTCCTGGGGGGTTGTGGTTATAGATTTAAAGTCAGTCAGCATGTTTGTGTGGTTCTTCTCCAGCCAGATTGAACTCTATAAATTCAGGCACGGAATGTTGGATTTAACAAGCAAGTTAACCAGCAAGTTAATGTAGGTAGAATGTTGGATTTAATCTGGATGGTGCAAGCGTTTGTACTTAAGTGTTATTGTTGTTAAGTGCCATCAAGTCGATTCCGACCTATACAGACCCTATATAGGGTTTCCAAGGAGTGGCTGGTGAGCTTGAACCACCGACCTTGAGGTTCAAACCAGCTTTGCAGTCCAGCGTATTAACCCACAGCGCCACATAACCTAAAAGTCCTAAAAGTTGGCAATTCAAACCCACCCAGCAGCACCATGGAAGAAAGGTCTGGTGATCTGCTTCTACAAAGATTATAGCTAAGAAAATCCTGTAGAGTAAGTCTACTCAAACACAGGTGTTACCATGAGTCCAATTCAACTCAACAGGGGAACTAATTACAGGATGCTGCCAGACAGGCAGGACAAAAAGAAAGGCAAGGAAGTTAAGGAAGTGATGATAAGGATGTATCTTAGAACTGGAGTTGAGTAAGAAGGGAAATGAGGACACAGGAATGATGATTTAAAAAAAAAGTCATGAGATTAGAGGTTCTAGTGGTGTAAAGGACATGCTAGGTGAAAAGAACAAGATAGAGGAATCAATTTGGAAAGTCTGGAGATGAGGCAGTAGTAGTCAGATAAAGAAATGCTTAAAATTAAGATCTGGAAACAAAGCATTCTTTTGAAAATGACAACTTCTAAAGGAGTTGGGCTCCTAAAATGAGGAAGGGCAGAATCTTTGGAAGTGAGGGGTTCAAGAAATCAAAAAGCCCAGGCATCTGTGGGAATACTACGGCCACTGAGAATAATGACAGGAGCAATCATCAGAAACAGAACAGTAAGCAAGAGGCTGAAGAGCTATAAGAAACTCAAAAGAGAGGGGGTGAGTAGTATCCTCATATGAGCAGCACCGAAAACCAAAAAGGTCACCAACACCTACATTTTCAGGCCCAAAATCATTTGGATGTGGAAGAAAATCCAGCCACTACTCAACAAACCCACAGGGAACGCTGTACCTTCAGGGGAGAGCCAGATTTTCAGTAAAAAGATGAAGCAAAAACTCTGAGAAGTCTGAGGATGTAGGGGATTTTGCAGATGACAGGTTATGAGTTTCGGATATTCATTTGTGCTTTTTAAAAATCCGTATTCACATACTTTTATGTGCCTGTGAATTTCCAGAAAGGATGTAAAAGAAACTAAGCAGCCTGGAATGATGTGCCAATCCAGAGGTAATGAAATGTAAGTCCAGATTCCTTCCTGTTAGTAGGAGAAAAGGAACGATCCCATAAGGTATACTGTGGAGGAGATTCCCATGGTGGATGTAAAGTGATCATAGATGCTTCTTACAAATCCCTTCTACATTGAGATTCTGTGACTCCGTGAACTTGGCTGTGTTTTTACTTTTACAGACCCCTTCATATCACTGGACTGAGCTCAATTTCCATATATATGAAGCTAGGAGGTTGGGCCATGTTTTCTCTCGACTTCCTCCTAACTCTGATGACCTATGAATCTCCGAGAAGTCAGCTCTGGATTCAGTCCTGTGTTGGAAAATGAGACTAGAGAGGCACAGGTCAGACACTGTAACTCAACGACATGGTTTGATGGGAGTACAAAGCCTCATAGCACTCCTAGTTACAAACACACATATACACTGGCAAGAAAATCCAGAACTATTTACACAAGCACCTGCACACTTTCCCACAATCACACTTGTGGTCACATTATCTTACCCAATAATATCATCTCATATACATAGTGTCCCACAATCACTGTTTCACAAAATCTCAGTCCCACAGAAGCCCACCTACCTTAAATAGATGAGGCAACTGCTGGGTGACCAATTCCTTAAACTCATCGATACTGAGGCTGCCCTTCTTGCCCTCTGGCTTTGCAAAGGTGAAGAAAGTTGTGACCACTGTATCAATAGCCTCCTCCAGCTCAGTCAGTGGCGTGGCTGCCATTAGGACACTGGGGCTGAAGCTAATGTTCTGAGGGGCCGACCTGCAAGAGACCAATAAGCAGAGAGGGAGAATCAGGGAGCCCAAGGATCCAAACTAAGCCAGAGAGTCCCCCTGCTCTGGTTCCCTCAGACTTCTGCCTGGTGGGGTTATGAAGAAAAAGGAAGGGGCAAGAAACCAGGCAACTTCATCTCAGTTTAGGTGGGGATGCAGGCATTTTCCAGTTCCAGAAACCCCTTCTTCTATAAGTCTCCCAGTCTGGGATCTGTGTCTTAAGGACCCTCTGTGGTGGTCCCTCAGATTGGAGTCCCTTCTGTGAGAGGCTCTCAGTCTGGGGGGTCCTTCTTTGTAATTCTTTTCAGTCTGGGCACCCCTCTGCGGAGATTCCTCAGTCTGGCAACCCCTCTGTAGGGTTTCTACAAGGTTGCCTTTGGAGATTTACCAAGCCTCAAAGGGCCATGAGGTTTTTTGCCTTGGAAGTTTGTTTGTGTTCAGACCTGGGTCTCCACCCAGAAGAGAAGCCCAGGATCTGGTAAATGCCCAACTGGTCCCTTCAGATGTAAATGCTGGAGCAGCTGGGCAGAGGGCTAAGCCTTCGCTGACCCCACAGACCCTCCCCTCTCCTGTCTCTAGTGACAGGAGTCCCGAATGGGATTTCACTGACTCCCAGTTCCCAGAAAGAGGAAGCACTCACAGCCTCCAGGGTAAGGGGGCCGGGCTGGAGGAAGTGGACAGGGCAGTCTCCACACGTCCTTTCCCCGTACACCCTCTGCAGGGACAGTTGCTAGATTTTCCAAAACCACTTCCTGAATCTCTATCTGGGATGGCTGGGGAGCCTGAGGAGGAAAGGGAGCCCCCCAGACTTTGCCCGGCAGGATTAGAGGAACACAACTCACCGGGACAAGGAGGTGCAGCGAGCTGTGCTGCGAGGCAGAGGTTTGGAAGCGTCCAGAAAGGGAGGAAAAAGCTGCTTCCAAGCCCGGAGGTGTCGAATTTCCGCAGTTAATTCAGAAGAAAGGGTACCGCCCAATCACGCCCCTGAGCAATCAGGCCTGGAACAGGGCCCCCTCAACCCAGCCCCACAGCGCCCTCACTTGGGAGGGATGGGAGCTCCTGCCGGGAATTGTCTGGCCATATCCCATACAGCAGGGGTCCTGTCCCTCCTGAGAGCTGCCCACCAACACCTCCACGGTTCTTTAGAAGTGTATGTGTAGAGCAGGAAGAAGCGACTGCAGATTGAAAAAGCCATCTAAGGGAGCACAAGACTGAGAAGGTCCCACAGAAACTAGGACTCCCTCAGAGGACCTTGACTAAGACTCCACAAAGTGGGCTTGAGACTGAGAAACTGCAATCCCCATAGAGGAACCCCTGGATTGAAGTCCCTCAGTGGGACCTCACACTGAATCCCTCAGACAGAGTCCTAGGACTAAATAATCCACTCAGGGGACTCCTCCCCCTCAGTGAGACCCAATGGAGGCGCTCCAGGGTAAGACTCCCAGGCGATCTGGGGGTGAGACATCTGTGTCCCTGCCAGGACCTCCTTACTGGTGCCTAGCAAGGGGAAAAGGGAGGGGAGGTGTGATGATTAAGGCTGAAGAAGAGGACACAAGGCAGCCTGTTCCAGCCCAGGAGACAGAGGGCGCCTCTGTCCTATCTTGGCCCCTTGCCCCACTGGGTGTCTGTAAAGGGGTGGAGCTGGTAGGGAGGTGGGGTCAGCGGGGGAAGGACATCTATAGACAGGTCTCCCCACACAGCTCCAGAAGCCACATTTGCAGGCTCATCTGTGTGCCCTGAACTTGTGCCCACCTCAGGCCCAGGCCAACTGTGAGTATCTTGTGCTACCTAGGCTCCAACCCTGCGCTGGCCAGCTTGAGAGGAAGGGGGACCACAAGGGAACTCCAAGAGTCTGGGGATGATGGCCTTGTGGAGGATTAAGAAACAGTCTGGGAGGAAAGAGGGTGGTTGCAGTTTGGGATTTGGGGGAGACAAGATTGGGAAGGGAGATCTAGGAGCTCAATAGATGAGGAAGCCAGTGGAGAACCTAGCAGCACTGAGTTTCCAGGTGACTGAGCTTCTCAACAAGGAGCTCCCAAGTCCCCTCTCAAGGCTCCCTCAAATTCCCAGATGCAGGAATCAGGACTCAGCCCTCTCCCTGTTTCCATTGGGGTAAGAATAAGAGCAAGTAGAACAGCTGTTCCTGTCTGTCTCTCCCATCCCCACCCCCACCCAGCCCTGCCAGGGAAATCTGGGGGTGGCAAAGCATGGATGGTGTGGTATAGGAATGAGCACTATGGTACCACACCAACCCAACTCTACCTTCACATGACCTCCCCCTTCTTGACCTAGACCTCCAGACTCCTCTTCCCAATTCTTTCCTCTTTGTTTTCCCATCTACCCATCACCTACCCACTCCACCCTCCATAACCAGGTCTTCTCAGAACTGCCCCCCAGAAAATCCCAGGGTGCTCAAAGACTCCAGGCAACCTCCAGGTGTCCCTCCGGGATGGGGCAGGTAATGGAGACTCAGCACCTCTCCCTCACACACACCCTTATCCCCTCTATCACTCCCAGCTTGGGTTCCATCTTCCCTTGTGTCTCTGTGACAACCACTTCTCATATCCAGAGTTCAGGTGACATGAACAAGAGCTCCATTGAAGAGCTGGAGTGTCATCTGACCAGGGTCTATTGTCTGGCACACACCCCCCCCAACACCTGGGGAAGGATAGGAGACACCTGATCTGAGACATCTGAGCTGTCCCCTGAGACTGTGGAGGGGCTGATTGTCCTAGAACCAAAGGAAAGAGGCCCCTTGGCTTAGCTGGCTCCTCACCCCTTCCCTCTCCTCAACAGACCCCTCCATTCTTCTCCTCCCTCCCTGTCCCTTGAACTCAAAGGACCTCTCACACTCTCTCCCCCAACATATACCAGCCTCGTTCTCCATGCTCCCATGGTCTATAGTGACCAGGCTAAGCCCTGAGGGAAGGGGGTTTGGACAACAGCAGGCATGACAAGTCTCCTCTCCCATCTCTGGAAGCCCTGGCTCCAAAGATAAGGGGTTAAGGATCCCTTCCCACCACTCACCTGATGAAAGGACTGTTTCTCCACAGAAGTAAGAGGAGCCAAACTGGAGGTAATGGGAAGCAGACACGAGGGAATTCAAAATGACATATTCAGGAGATATCAGAGTTGAGAGACCAACAGGGGCTTCTAGGTTGCTGACAGGAAGCCCCGTGGCAATGAGATCTTCCCTCAAGAAGTCTTGGGCCACCCACTCCAGCTGCAACCTCTCCATTCAGGCTCACCAAGGACACCAGACTGACTCCTAGCTAGGGTTAGGTAGTGGAATCTCAGTTATGGAGGAGACCCCAGGCCACACCCCCACCCCCACCCCCACCCCCAACAGAGCTTGGTTGTACTAGGCAGGCAAGGTCCAGGGTAAAAATAGAGTCTGGCCACATTCTGTGCCTGTCTCACCCTCTTAAGTCTCGGTCCAGGCAGCCAGGACCCACTGCAGCTATCCACAGCAGGACTCTAGAGCCAGCTCAACTTGACCAGCTTCATTTCTATGCCCAAACCTAACTCTGTGTGATCTGAATTTAGGTGTTTGGGTTTTCCTGACATTGTAAAATCTTAGTGAAAGATAAATAGCCTTGCGGCTCCAATCTCAGGGCTATTCAGCTGTAGGACCAAAGCCAGGCCTGAGGCCAGAGCTCCCCTCATCCCAACCTTAGCCGCCATAGGCCTGATCCCCAGCTCACTTTCATCCTTGGGGGGGTTAGGTGAGCTGTCGAAATGGGTTCTGAGCTTGAGTCTGCAATGGAGACCCTTATCAATGTGTTCCACGCCCACTCCGGCAAAGAAGGGGACAAGTACAAGCTGAGCAAGAAGGAGCTGAAAGAACTGCTGCAGACTGAGCTCTCTGGCTTCCTGGATGTGAGCACAGAGTGGGATTACTGGGTGGAGTGGGTGAGGGCTGGGCACCTCCCCTCCATCTCCTCACACCACTCCCAGCTCAACTCAACCATTTCCCTGCTTGTCCAGGCTTCCCTCCTGGGTTTCTTCAGGCACCCCTACTTTTCCTGGTTCACATCCAAATGCCCTGCTTTACTGAGCACCTGCTAAGTACTAAGCCCTGTGTAGCTCCATCAGCAAGGCTCACAGTAGAGAATGGAATGACTTGAAAGTTAACCAAGAACTCCTGGGAATATGTAGAGCCTTAACAGGGGTTTCAGAAAGGTTTACGGGAAAATACTAACCTCATTGGAGTGAGCATGCTCCTCTGAACAGATGACACTTCAGCCATGGATTTTCACTAAAGATAATTGGGATAAATGGAATGAGCTGGAATTGACTCAGTGGCAGTTGGTTTGGGGAGTGGGGGAGGGTAGACATTTCGGGAGGCAGCATGAACAAAAAGCATAGGAGAGAGGAGTGTGGAACATGCTCAGATGCTTGATTTGACTGGAGTTAACAGTACAGATAACTAAGCTGCAAAGACTAACGGGGTATCATAGTAAAGGAGAAGCCCCAGGATGCAGTAGAAAGTACACAGGCTTTGAGGTTTGATTAGACCTGGGGTACAAATTCTGATGCCACCACTTTCTAGCTATGTGACTTTGGACATGTTACTTAACCACCGACTGGCAATTTGTTTCTTCAAAAAGGCAATAATGAAGCCTACCTCATATTATTTTTCTTAGATTTAAATGAGATAATGCTTGTAGACTTTTAAAGAAGTGTTTGGCTCATTCTTGGCATTCAACATTTGGTAACTTATGTTAATGTGTATCTATGCTGTGTTAAAGGAGCTCTGGTAGTGAAGTGGTTACCAGTTGGGCTGCTAATCACAAGGTCAGCAGTTCAGAACTACCAGTTGTTCTGTGGGAGAAAGATGATGCATTCTGCTCCCATAAAGGTTTACTGCCCAGCCTCAGAAACCCTATCCAGGGTCATGAGTCAGAACTGACTCCACGGCACACCACCACCACCATGCTAAGGAATGTTTATTTCCTAGACAATCAGTCCATGAATGTTTGTTACTTTTTGAGGAGGGGAGCAGAGTCCCATTACATGTAGTTCTCCCTTTGGTTCATCTCTGTCTCCTTCACCCCTATCACCTACACCCTTACCCCTGACTCAGGGCTAGACCCCTACATTCTATTCACCTGTCTCTCCTTCTCTACCCTTGTCAGGTCCAGAAGGACGCGGATGCTGTTGACAAGGTGATGAAGGAACTAGATGAGAACGGAGATGGGGAGGTAGACTTCCAGGAGTATGTGGTGCTGGTGGCGGCCCTCACTGTGGCCTGTAACAACTTCTTCTGGGAGAACAGTTGAGCAGGCAGCCCCAGCAGGCGGCGCCCTTCCCCTCTACCATGCCAGACCTCCTCCTTCACCCTGGTCTCCCCTCAACCCTTTCCCCTTCCCAAATTCCCTGGTTCCACTTCAAGGGCGCAAGAGTGGCAGGCAAAGCCTGCAACTCCTTTCATTAAAGGCTTCTCTGTCAGCCAGCCAATTGCTGTCTGTCTCCTCTGGGGTCCAAAAGTGGGTGGAGAAGTGAATGTTCTGTTTAGTCTTATGTGGAGAGAAGACGTAATTAGGAAAGGTTCTTATTTGGGACAAGGTTGCTTGCACTGCATCCTACCTGAGGAATGCTCAAGGCCCAGCAATTTAGGATTTCAGGATTCCAGCTATAAGTAGACAAGACATCAGCTACAAAGCCAGAACAGAATCTTTATTCAACATTTAACAATATTTACCAAGGACCTACCATGTGCTAGGGAGTCCCTGGGTGGTTGCAAAGATTAATGTGCTGGACAACCAGCTGAAGGGATGGAGATTTGAGTCCACTCGGAGGTGCCTTAAAAGAAATGTCTGCTTCCAAAACATCCCCCAATTGAAACCCTATGGAGGATAGTTCTACTCTGATTTCCATGAGGTCACCATGAATTAGAATCACTCAATGGCAACTGCTAGGAGTCCTGGTGTGGCACTGTGGGTTAAAGCACCAGACTGCAAAGTCCATTGAACCAGAAGGTTGGTGGTTCAAACTCACCATTCACGCCTTGGAAACCCTATACAGGGTCGCTATGAGTCGGAATCGATTCGACAGCACTTAACAACACAAATGGCAACTGCTAAGTGGTTCCCATGTGCTAGACATTGTATAGAAACTGGTGACACAGCAGTGAACAAAGCAAACACCATCCTCCCTCACATACCTAAAGTCCAGCAAAGATACCAGAGTATTAAAACATATACAAGTACCAGAAAGGGAAATAAAAAACCTGGTTACAAGACTAAGGTGGAGGAAGTGAAGATGTGTTCACTCACTCATCCTTTAAACATCTGAGCACTCTTTACGTACCCAGGCATAAGAAAAGTTCCTTTATAGATGTGTCAAAATCAACGTGGATGGCGGGTGGAGAGGAAAGACATAGAAGGGTGAACATGGACGAAAACATCTTCCCAAATAAGGATTAGGACAAATTGGGGAGGGAAGAAGTGGGGAGAAATATGGACGGGCGGTGGTAAATCCATCAGGATGTGGAAGATATGTATGTGCTCCCAGAGCTTCTTAGCTCTTCTCAACTCTCTTAATATGGAGAATGGGGGTGAAGGGAGAACCAGTGCAAAGGTGTTATGTGAGAAACTAGGATAAAGTTCCGCATAAAAAAATTTAGACGGTGGTTTAGGCGTTGGACTGTTAAACGCAAGACGTTCCCCGGAAAACGACGTTGTCTGCTCCCGTACAGACTTAGTCTCTGAAATCCCATGTAGGGTCGCTGAATCGGAATTCACTCCATAGCAGTTCGGTTTAGTTTTGGGATCTTGGCGAGGGAGTGCAAAAGTGCACAAAATGTTTTTCATCGAGACTTGAATCCGCCCTCAGCAAGCCATACCACGCAGAACTCCGGACTACCCAAGACTCCAGACTACCAGGGATTCCAGATTACAACCTCCAAGCCGCCCCGAACGTGAAAATTTTACATGCCTCAAAGTCTAGGCCACTGGCCCCTTTTAACATTTACCGCTTCGGTGTAACACAAATTAGATTTTTAGCTAAAACTCCGCCTCCCACAAAGGCTCCGCCCCTGACCTTTGCGCAGGCTTATCACAAACCTTTCCCGCCCCCTAGTTTTGCGTGGCTCCGACGTCTGACGTTCGTGTCGACGCCATTTTAGCCGGTCCCACTCCGCACAGGGCGTGGCGGCCATTTTGTTTGGGACATCGAGCGGGAGGTGGCGGCTTCTGTGGCAGCAGTGGTGGCATAGAGAAAAGGGCTGGCCGGGTGAGCAGACGGGCCGACCAAACAAACAACGAACTAGCCTAGCAGACTGTTGCTTACTTATCTTAACCAACCGCCCACCAAGTTATCCCGAGCCCCCCATCAATTCAGGTTCGGCCGGTCCCCGGCCCGCCTGCCGCAGCCGTGGTGGCAGCCCCGGGAGGAGCACTGGCGTCCGTTTCCTTTGGTGCGTTTCTGTAGTGAAAAGGGGAAAAGTCTGGGGAGCGGAAGGAGCCGACGACCACGACATAGGGGTAGTAGGTGGGATGTGGAGGCGCACGGGGTGTTGGATCCGGAGGCCCCCGGAAGGGGGTGGAGCCGGAGTGAAGAGGTGGGGACGGCGCCGCGGCAAACTGGCGGCGCGGGGAAAGTGCCGAGCGTAACAAAGTTCGGTCTTCCCGGGCTTTTGAGACGGTAGGGCTTGTAAGTGAGGATGCTGGGATTTTAGGAGCCCTGGTGATGTAGTAGTTAGAGCGCTCGGCTGCCAACCGGAAAGTCGGCTGTTTAAAGCCACTAGCTGCTCCGCGGAAAGATCTGGAAACCCTACTGTGTCTTATCAAGGTCGCTAGAGTCGGGATGGCTCGGTGGCTGTGGGTCTGGTTTCTGGGTGCATAGGACTTTGGCTTGGAAACTAATGGCGGTTTTAGAGTTAAATTTTCTCGTATGCTCTCTGGGAGCCAACTCCCAGGCACGCACTAGTGCCTGTTTAAGAAACCTCTCCTCTTCAGATCCCAAGCCCTTTTCTAAAGCTCCTACTTGATTTTGAAGTTGAAACTCAATTTTGAAACCGTGGTGTGCCTGTTTTTTTCTCTAGTTCAACGCTTCTTAACATTAGAAGCGCCTCAGTAACCTTTCCCAGCCCCTAGAGATGGGGATTTAATTGTCTGTGCCCAGACTTCTATATTTCTAAAGGTTCCCTGGGCAATTCATATGCTGCCGTAGTTAACAGATGAACCCTGTTGAGGATTAAAGTTCTTAGCTGTCTCTGGTTCTGCCATCCTGGAGACCGAGGCTAGTTTATATCCTGTGGCCTTAAAATTGTAATTGGTTGAGCCAATTGCCTTATAGACTTAAGCAGCTGAAATGGTTTTTTGTGTCATCTTCTAAAGACCTTTCCATCTGATACTGACTTGGGGGTTGGCCTTGTAGAAATGAGGGGACCATCATTCCCGTTTGCTTATTTTGTCTGTTGTCCATTGTAGATTCTCGAGATTTGAAGATGGCTGCACAATCAGCTCCGAAAGTTGTGCTAAAAAGCACCACCAAGATGTCTCTAAATGAGCGGTGAGGCAGCCAACAGCAACTTCAGCTCGTTCATAAGAAAACATTACTTAAATTGGCCCTGGGGTCCAATGCACACACACAAAAAAAACCGGTTTTAAACTAAATACCAACAGAAGGCTACAGACCTCTGTTTTTAGTTGAATCTTATGTGGTACATGAAACAAATTGGGCACTTGTTTCAAAACCCCTTATCAGTAGATTTTTATGTTAAACTGTCTGAAACATTTATCTGGTGGGATGTATTTTAAAAAAGACTCCTCACTCCCTCCCTCTCTTCACATTTTTTTTTACATTGATACAGGGGTGGTGCAGCACGGTAGCATGGTACCCTGGCTGCAGTAGGCTTGCTGCCCAGTCCTAGGCCAGCAATGTTGTGTCTGGCCTGTAAGAGGCAGGTAGCAAGCCATGAATCTGTCCAAAGGCCCTTGAATGTCATTCTTGGGCCTTGTAAGAGGCACTTGCTTTGCTCCATTTCACTTTCTTTCCATTCTGCTTTTAGTTTGTTTTTGTTTTGGATTTGTTTACAGTTGTGTTTTTCTCTTCATCCCATTACACTTATCTTGATAGGAATAATGAGTGTCTTCACAAGCTTTTAAATGAAGTTTTCAGAAGCAATTATTTGGAGTCAAGAAAAGTGATCGTTTAAGAAAGCTTGGGTCTTTTAAGTAGGTTCTATCTCTTAAGAGCTATGTTAATTGAAGGCCTTTGGTCAATAAATTTATTAAGTTAAATGTTAGATCTAAGGAGTGTTTTTATGTCTATTTTTGCCTCTTCTGAAGCATTTGTGCTTTTTCTACTCCGTTTACTATTTATATTCACAAACTAAGTAAACATATAAGAAAATGTGATGCACACTGATAATTAATATGGATAACACACTGTTTCCATAATCTTTGCATGGTGCAAATAGTTAACACTCACCTGCTAACTGGTTGGTGGTTTCAGCCCTCTCAGAGGTGGCCCGCAAGAAAGGCCTGACAATCTACTTTTAAAATCAGCTATTGAAAACCTTATGGAGCACAGTTCTACTCTGACATAACATAGGGTTGCCTTGAGTCAAAGCTAATTCAGCAACAACTGCCAAATGTTTCCATGGGCTTTGAAGGTGCTCTAGTCTTGGCTCATGTTTGCCCTTAAATACACTCAGGTACCCCAAGGTTTTGGCTTTCTGTCTTTGTCTTTGAAACTACATCTTCTGTCTTTCTACTGTCATCATATCTGCTTATTGCGTGTTTTTCATACCTTCCACTTCTCTAAAAGCCGTTACCTGAGCCCTTGTTATCACTTTTGATTGAATGTGCTGCACTTAGCTGCATTTCTAAGTTTCTGATTCTTGCAAGTTTGTGGAAACAGAGGAGTCTTTAACCCACATCAGCCTTGACCTAAATGTACCACTTTATTTAAAGTTCATGGGATCTGGAGCTCCTCCTGGTCTAGCAAGCCATGAAATGCCAATAAATGTTTTGTAATAAAGCTTTTATTTAAACATCCATTTTGTTCGACCTTGAAGCTTTACTAATATGCTGAAGAACAAACAGCCGATGCCAGTGAATATTCGGGCTTCGATGCAGCAACAACAGCAACTAGCCAGTGCCAGAAACAGAAGACTGGCCCAGCAGATGGAGAATAGACCCTCTGTCCAGGCAGCATTAAAACTTAAGCAGGTGAGAGAATGGGTCTTAATGCTCCAGAAGCAGCTGGTGATCTCTGTCAGGCAGTCTACTGAGGCTGTCAGGACGTGAAGGATGATTTACAAGGTGGCTCAGGGCAAAAGCTGAAACTTCTCTGGAGCAAAGAGAAGTTCAGAGAATCCCAAATTTGGCAGGTACTTTTAAGTAACTTTTTTTTTTTTCCTTCAAATGATCTTTTTCTCTTGGGGAGCTTGCCACCAATGTGGCCTGTTTCTGTTATCAGTGAAAACACCTTTCACTCCTTATTAAATGAGGAAAGATGATTTTATTCTTTCTGCCCTAATACAAGAAGTACAAAAAGCTTTAGTCAAAAGTTTTCAGTGATAAAATACAGAACACGCAGGATGTATCTTCATCTCCACAGCACCTAAAGTTTTATAAATAAAGTAGCCTGAGAACACTGAGTAATTTAAAAGTTGGTGGGTTCTCTCAAATTTCCAATATGAGAATTCTATTCAGACCTGAAATAAAACCTGCTCTTTATTATTCATAGACTTTATATGCAAGTCCGGACAGTGGCTGTGGAAGGATATGTCCATGCTGTGGCTGGGCGTCTGGAGGGCGGTGCCATGCAACTGTAAGGACTTTAGCTAGTAGCACTGCATGGCTCTGCATAAATTTCAGCAGTTAAATATAACACACCCTCCCACCCCCCCATTTTGAGCCATTGGGCTCATTGACCAAAAATAACCAAGGCTCTCTGCTTCAGCTGCCTTAAGCCTTGAAGTAGCTAGATTCATCCCTGACTCAGGAAAACAGGCATCAAAAGCACTACATTTTCTAAGAGTAAATGTAAAAAATTGCTGAAGATAATCTGATATAACCTCTTATAAGACATTCCAACAAGTAGCTTTAAGTAGGCTTGGAGCAGTACTGTTCAATACAACTTTCCTGCAGTGATGGAAAAGCCCTATGTGCGTTTTCTACTGCTCTAACAACTTTTGCCACATGTTAGCACATGGAAAAAGGTGAATTTTTTTATTTTGTTTACTATTCATTAGCCATATGTGCCTACCTTATCTTACAGCACAGCTCCAAACTGGAAACTGAAAGAGTAGAGTTGACATCTTAATGCTTCCTGTCAGTGTTGGAGACCAGTATTGGTGGCATCTTAGTATTGGGAAGGGAAAAGAACTTCTAAGCACTGTGTGTATGGTTCTTCCCTCTAAAGCCCAAATCTCAGGAGAATATACTCAGGATGACTGACTAGTGGAATTAAGTCCAGACCTCATACTTGTGTGCTGCTGGGGGAGTGGTGTTGCAGGCTCTATGGTGGATTTCAATAGCCCATGGGAGGCATCTAATATTTAGAAACTGCCCCTCTGGTTAGAAGCCGTTTGTGATAATTGTGCTGGAAAACTAATATTGCCTTACCACATCTTTTGTGGGAAGGAGACATTACTTGCCCGCCCCGCCCAAAATCAGTAGTTACTTACTGAAACCTTAGATGCATAGAATTTATTTTCATTCGTACTGACTAATGGCTTTATAGGAAAACAAATTTGCCTAGTCCCTTGCTGTATTCAAGGCTATATTGTCCCTTTCCTTTGAAAGAATTTTTGATACGTGATGATCTTCATTGGGTTTTTCTTTGAGAGACAGATTATTAGAAATATTTCTCTCTCTGTCCTTGTTTCAAATGTGGCCCAGAATTTTATAACTTACCTGTCAACTCTTAACATATAAATAAGCTTGGCTGACTCTGTACGGGGTTACATTTGGGTTACATGTTTATTTTGAATTAAAGGTTGTGATACTGGCTCAGTAGAGCTGTTTGAAAAGACAGGTCTGAAGTTATGGATATTTGTGAAATGTAAGGAAAAGAGGTTTGACTTTTTTGTGTTTATTTACATCTTAAGGTAAAAAGTGGACCGTCTGGAGCTAGATACTCAGAGGAAAAATGGAGCAGACTGGCCTTTTTGACTGAGAAATCAATCTTGTTCTTAAGTCACAGAATTCAAATGAACTTATAATTTAAATTTTACCCAGAGTGTGATGAACTCTTCCTATGGTGTTTGAGTAAGCCTTTGAAGACAGTGGTAGCCCTTGGGCAGGTATGAATCAAATCATATCGTTGTCAGCCTTTGATTCAAAAACAGCAGAATCCAGTACTTGAACTACAGTGTGCTTCCTTAAAATGAATTCCCAAGTGGTAGTGTATGATTTCAGTAGTCAACATAGTGAGGTAACTTGTGTTACAATATGGAACCGTACTCAAGCTTCTTGGTGTGTCTGTTCTGAATTGGAATTCTGCTTTTATACCCATGTTCTGAGACAAAGGCTTGCTTCTGGTATGAAATTCTTACAGCACAGTTTTTATCTCCCTACACACCAGTCATCTCATTTGCTTCTTTTTCTCTGCACTTTGAGTTGCCATATCCCACTGGATGGCTATTTTTTGATCTCAATCCCCCCAACACCTTTTCTTCCAGAAGAGCTTAAAGCAGCGCCTGGGTAAGAGTAACATCCAGGCACGGTTAGGCCGACCAATAGGGGCCCTGGCCAGGGGAGCAATCGGAGGACGAGGCCTGCCCATAATCCAGAGAGGCTTACCCAGAGGAGGACTACGTGGGGGACGTGCCACGAGAACCCTACTTAGGGGCGGGATGTCACTCAGAGGTCAGTGCTGTGTTATCTGATCATTGCTAAGCCCTGCCCCCTTCCTTCTTCACTTGGGCTGCTTATGGACACATTTGTTTAACATATTTAAGCCTGAATTTGTATTATTATAACTTTCGAAATCACATGTTTTTAATAGTGCTGCATGTCTTTTATCGATACCATTCCTTTTCTGATATTATGCAATGGTGAGAGGCTTTACCTGCGTAAAGACAGGTAATTCGTTTCATATCCATTCCATTTTAAAACACTGCTGCTGTCTGAGTCAAAGCACATTCAAGTTGTAGAAATCAGCCAAGCTTAAGAAATGTATGGTCTGTTGACCTATGTTTGAACTAATCATCTCTTTTTGGTGCTAGTGAAGTGCTCTTGTTAAATCTGGAAAAAGAACAGGACAAATTGACACAAACTATTTAGTTATATATTCTAGGCACTCAGTAATGTTTTCTCTATTTTTGTATTAAAATCAACAACCATACAATCAGATCTAGGCAATCAATCTGATTAATCCAGATACTTACTAAATGTATGTACTCGTTAACATACTCCCACTTCTTTCAAAATATGGATTTTGATCCGACTTGCTGAATTGATTGAATAAAGAGCACCATAACCTTCACACTCAGTGTGCAGCTTGTCCCACCCAACCTAAAAATTAACCAAATTACTATCATTGATTTAACCTTCACCACCTTCCTTTGGTTAGAATCTACTTTGTCTCTCTTGGATTTACCTGCCTATACATTGTATGCCTCCTCTCCAAGGTCAAAACCTGCTCCGAGGTGGACGAGCCGTAGCTCCCCGAATGGGCTTAAGAAGAGGTGGTGTTCGAGGTCGTGGAGGTCCTGGGAGAGGGGGCCTAGGGCGTGGAGCTATGGGTCGTGGCGGAATCGGTGGTAGAGGTTAGTCAGCTACCAACTTCAGAGTAGCTCCCCCTATTTCCTTTCCTCAAAAACTCAGAGCCACCTTTCTGCACAGCTTCAAGTTATAGGCAGGCTTATTTGTTTGTCTTGTTTTGTTTTGAAACTGGCTTACTTTGTAAATTCACATGTTGTTAGTATACAATAGTCCAAGAATAGGCCACGTGCCTAGTTCAGAATATTTACACTTGTTTTCCAGGCTGTTGCAAATTTAAATTGTAATCTTAAAATGACAAAATGGTCAGTTTGGGACTTTACTTTTTCCACCACCACCTACCCTGTATCTCAAAATCCCAATTTGAGTTAAATAGGAATAGAGAAGAGGGAGATGCATAAAGGTAAAGCAGAGAAAGAGGTTGTTGAGACTTGGCAGCTGAGCATTTGCCCTGACACTAAGTAAATTCAAGGTAAAGTTTGTGTCTGTGGGGAACCAAAAACTTCATCAAAAAAAGATCGAGGTAGAAAGCAAGATGGTGTCATTGTCAGTTAAACGGCAACCATTGATAGTCTTACCTTTGAGATTTAGTGATACTTGTCTTGTGACCTTATTACCCAGATTGGAAAATAGTTTAATGGTATTGCTGTTATTAATGCCAAATTTCATGCTAGCTTTTTGGCTTAGAGCTAAGTGGAAAACTCCCAACAACACTGTGGTGGGGAGGATCTACTATTTTAGCTCCTGTGTTTATTTGCTTTTGTCCTTTTAAAGTTTGTGGTGAGTCTTCCATGATATATGACCTTGAAGTTGTCAAGGGATAATAACTGTTAGGAAAGGAAATTTGATAACAGGGTTTGTTTTCTTCTCTCCCATTATTATATGCCTCTTGGCTTATTGAGTGAAGAGCAAGTTAGTTTGGGTTTCAGGATGAAATAACATGTTTCCAAATTATATTTGAATTGGTTTCTGAGACATCACACGGGTGTGGGAAATAAAGTAGCTTTTCAGAAAGCTGGGTCTGTTTTGTTAAGTGAATTGAAACCATCTCGCAGAGAATCATATCATTTTCATAAGGTGACTAAAATCAGAGAGAGAAGTGACTCGAACTACTCCCCATCTCCCCACATTGTTAACTTTGTCAGAATAACTCTTCAGTTCCTTGACATGGGGTTGGTTCTTTGATAAGTTTTAAAGAGAGTTAAGATAACGTTTGTAAAAGGGTCTCTAATAAAACCTAATTTGAAAATTAGTTTCACACCCCTGATTCTCTATGCCTGTGTAACTTCCTCCCTATTAATGTGTTTAATTGGCACTGTGGGGTGAGCACTGGACTTGTAACTACAGAATTGGCAGTTGAAGCCCACCAGCTGCTCCTTGAAAACCCTATACAGGGTCACTGAGTTGGAACCAACTTGATGGCACTTAGTAGCAACAACAAATTTATATATAGTTAAGTGTGTCCAGTCAGTTCCGACTCAGCGACCCTATATAGGGTTTCCAAGGAGCAGCTTGGTGACTTTGAACCAGTGACCTTCCAATTCAAATTGACCTTGTGGTCTAGTGCCTATCCTACGGCGCCATACCAGGACTCCATGAATTTATATAGTGAATCTAAATTTTAAGTAATTTCTTTGTCTAAGGAAAGATGGATTTTTACAGTCTTAATTTTTAGTTATTTTCTATTTCATTGATAAGACTATTTTTTATATAGAATTCCTAGAGATAAGCATGTTAATAAAGGGATTCATTGTGTGTGCTTTCCATGTGTTGCTTTGTATCCAATGTGTTTGCTTTTTTTTTTTTTTTTCTTCTTCTTCAGTTTCCTCCTCTTTTCCCTGCCCTTTCTCAGCTAGGTCCCATTATTCTAAGGGGCATTTACCATTGTGCATCTGTTAAGCCTATTTGTGACTGTTGTTTTTGTTTTCTTTTTTACCCCATTGGGCCAGGTCGGGGTATAATAGGTCGGGGAAGAGGGGGCTTTGGAGGCCGAGGCCGAGGCCGTGGACGGGGGAGAGGTGCCCTTTCTCGCCCTGTACTGACCAAGGAACAGCTGGACAACCAATTGGATGCGTACATGTCAAAAACAAAAGGACACCTGGATGCTGAGTTAGATGCCTACATGGCACAGACAGACCCTGAAACCAATGATTGAAACCTGCCCACCCTCCCATGAGAGACTCTTGTTGACGTCACCACATCTGTAAATGTTCTTCAAACAACTGATGAGAAGAAACCTGATTGATGCTGGAAGGACCTGTCACAACAGGCTCTGGACTTATTTGCCACCAGTTTGCATTTAGTGTGTTCCTTTTACTTTTTGATACTGTGTTGTATGAAACCCTTTTCCTTTGACTTGGTTTTATATATTATATATTTTTTTCACCCAGACTTCTCTTTGAATGTGGATACATTTGTTGATGTTGTGATTAGAACACCCTTCTCTGTCTCCCCTCGCCTGTCATAAGTTCTGACATTTGAACATTTTGTCTGTTTGTCTCCACACTTCCCTAGAAAGAGCCATTTGAGGGTATACTTTACAGTCAATAGTAATAACTGTAGACATACCCATAATGTCTATAGTTTTGAAATACAGTTATGGTCTATATCCCCTTTAATGGCCTTTAGAAATGTTCAGAGATCGGGAGCTCAAAAGTATATTCTTCTGTGTTGACAATTTAGTGTAGCAACATTGACTTGGCTACAGGACCACGTAACAGATTCTGAGCAATAGCAGCTCTGATGTGGTTAAAGTCAATACCTTTTATGCTGACACTACATAGATAACAACCAGTATGCACACTACCCTCAAAGGAGATAAACTTTTTTGTTTTGTATCTTGTCCAAGTGGGGGTACTATATTGGGTTGGCTTATACTTGCAATGCAGGGAAAGAATCCATTGATTTGACGTGCTGCAGCAGAAGGATTAAGGATGGGAGAATGAATGGCAGACTGGCTGCTATAAGAGGGGTCAGGCGATACACTAATGCTGAAGTACTAGTCTTAGGTTTATTCCAAGCCAATCTTGGTTTCTCATTTGCTTTGTTTGAGCCTTTTTTTCCCTTGAAGATTTAATTAAGTTCAACCATATTTTGTCAACTAAATCAGTTTCAGTGGAATCTTGTATTCATTATAACAAGAAATCGTTCTCTCAAATCCAATCAGGGCTTTGTCTTTATTGTTGGGTTTCTTGAAATGGCATGGCCACATTGACAAACTGGATAAATTCCTGGGTATATCCTGGTTGTGGCACTGGACAGCAAAGTTGGCGGTTCAAACTCCTCAGAAATCCTATACAGGGTCGCTGTGGGTCAGAACTGATTGAACAGCACTAAACGTGTAACTCTGGGGAGTATATGATTTTGAGACAGAAAGTGAAAGATTTGCCTAAAAGAAATGAAGAGAATGTTAGAGTCATACTTCATCTCACCACAAGGGAAAGCAGTAATGGTCCTCCTTCAATTAGGCCCTGGGGCTAGGAAAAGGTGAGCTATTTTTCCCACCTCATAGCCCATAGTAAATATACAGGGTGGTCTTGGGTAATATTCTGGACTCTGGCACTGGTTTCCCATTTTCCCTGTGCAGTTTATTGTAAAAAGAAACCTACTGCTCCTTTCCAAACCTGACTATCTGCTGTTGGGCTGCCTGGAACCCACAACTTTAAAGGTTAAAGGAAATTTTGATCAGGACAACCTGGACTCAAATCCTGTGCTACTTGACCTCTGGGTTTATGAGGCCAAATGTAGAATAGAGTCTTGAGGAAATGATCAGATGGAGTTAGAGGACAGAACCATGCTAACACAACCTGACATGGTTTCCAAGTGTCAATACTGCTGTTTTCTCCTAAGAGTGGAATGTGGGGCTGAAGGTCTTCACTTTAGAGATGCCATAGCTTTGGATGGAAGGGAGTAAGAAAAGTTAGCTTGTTTGGACAAGGTTAGTTGTAAGGGACACGCCACTTAGCCCCAAGGCTGACGTGAGGGAGGTGCTGATGTAGTAGGCAGACTACCACTTGGAAAGTTCACATCCATTGGTTGTCTTGCATCAGGCATTCCCGCCCCCCAGCTTCCAAGATGCCTTTATTTTGGAAGACAGAGTACAAGTGAAAGATAAAGGCTTACTGCTCCCATGAACATTCACTGCCTCAGAAACCCAAAGGACCTATTAGAAATCTCTCAGTGGCGGCAGGATATGGTTTGGATTTGGGAAAGGGATGTGCTGCAGAATGAGTGAGTGAGTGACTAACATACTGTCCAATAACCCTGTAGAATTTTATCCAGTATGTGCCCCCTTCCCAAATACTTTGCCTCTTCCCCAAGGTTACAACAGGTATGGTTCCCTCAAGTATGGCTTTGTTTACCTGGGACCTGCCTCTCGTGTTTAATATGGTGGCTTTTGAGCCACCTGCCCATAATCAGCTGAGGTCCTCTATGTAAGAAAAGGAAGGAAAGGGACACGTAGGGCTTTGAAACACATGGGAGGAAAGGGGGACCTTGAAAACAATGGGGAGAAAAAAAGATGGCAGCAACTGTTGATAAAATTCCATTGGGACACCCTCCTTTCCTGTCCTCATGAAAGGACTCACACAGAACTCCCCTACCAGCCATGGGCCTTCCAGTTCTACTTGTTCCTCAGTATAGTTTCCAGTCTCTTGTGACCTGTGCTTACCTCTGCCATGCTTGGTCCCCCATGAGTGTTCTCGGTAGAGTGGGAGAAAGAGATTGAGCCTGACTCCTGAATCAGCCTTTCACTCATTCAGTCACCATCTGCCATACAGACCCAAACAAGGCGTAATTGTTTATAAAAGCACACTGGGAGCATGAGAGAAGAGACTGATGACCTTGCATGTTGAAAGACAAGGCAAAGCTTGATAGAAGGAAGACTATCCCATGCACTAATAGTAATAAGTACAAAAGCTCAGAAGTCTAAAAGCATTTTGCACACAGGAAAGTGAGCATTCAGTAGGCCTCCAAGGTAAACTGGGAAGAAATGGTATAGGTAATGTGGAACCTAATCGCTATGGGTTGGAATTGACTCCATGGCACTTAACAACAATAATCTGCTAAAGTTTAGGCTCTGCTTTGGGCAGTCAGAAGGCTTTAAAGGATTTTAACCAGGAGAGGTACACAGAGAGATTTACACTGAATACTGGTGAGGATGGCCTAGAGGAAGCCTCCACAGAGGTTAGGAAAACCTTCAGGGTTTATTAGATTAGAAAAGAAAAAGAAAAAGGACCTGAATCCAGGCAGTGGCAGTGTGAGGGGAGAGGTTACACCCTCCACAATTCCCCAGGAATCAGATATCTGGGATGTCTGAGTGTGAGAGAAGAGTTAGGGGTGGTTCCCAGGTCTCCAATTTGAACAATCACATGAGAGAAAGAATGGGCAAATCTCTCACTAATCTGTTCTTGTGTTCTGTCTCCCTCGTGTCCCTGTATGATCCCATGATGCCCACCATTCACCCACAGCAGCTACCTACTGCCATGGCATACCTTGGTGATTGCGTAAAATTAAAATATATCCTATATCCCTGGTTTGGGCCAGGGGTGTGTAATGAAAGAGGAAGTGACAAATCTATCTGGAATAGTCTTGATTGAAACAGGTTTACCCAAAATTTCCTAAAGCTTTCCCCTTTGGATTTTAACTGAAAGCACATCCACTAAAGGAACTGTATTTGAGGAGGAAAGCCAGGTCACAGGGTCACAGAAGAGAAGAGAGGAGCAGGGGAAAGGTAGACAAGAAAGACAAAGAGGAGGAATGGCTCCTGGTGGCTTGCTTAGTCTCTGATGCTTTTGTGATAAGGAGTCCTGGAGCCTGAACTAATCCAAGTGTGGCCAGAGAAGTTGTCCACAGAGCTGGAGATGGAGGCAGGTGGAGGAGTGGCAGCCCTCCAGGAGCATGGTGGATAAGACAGATGGAATCTCGGGCCTGCACTGCTATCTTTCCCACTGCCATCCCTACTGCTGCCCCACTTCAGTTCGTCCACTGAAGCATTGAAAACCCTTGTTACTGTCAAGTTGAATCCAATTCATGGTGACCTCATGTGTCACACACAGAATGGCTCTATAGGGTGTTATTATATAAAAGCCATCTTCAGCATTAACTAGGTGAGTTTGAACCACCAACCTTTCTGTTAATTGTTAAGTGCTGAAAAGTCGGTTTTGGTTAATAGACAAACATAACTCGTTTGTGCCACCCAGGGACCCCTGCAGCATTCTTAGGGTTCCCCAGAGTCCTAACCTCCAAGAAAGCATGGTGAACCAGGGGTATCCCTCTCCCTTACCTAGACCTGGCAGAGGTCCTAAAAAGCATGACGCTCAAGTTCTCTTTCCCAGTTCAAACCATAACCAGGCCCTTCCTCCCCACAGCCAAGGACCCTTTGCTAACCCTGTCACCACACTGCTTTCTGGCCCACCCAGGCTCCACATTTGGTGCAGGATGCAGGATGCAGCTGGTGGGTCTCACTGAAAATTCAACAAGAGATGTAAACTCTTTGGAAAGCCACGAGAAACAAAACTAGGGAATCTCTCAAAGACAAAAAAATGAATATATGGAAACGTAGTATGTATTTTCAGTGCCATTAAAAATACACTTTTTCCCTTGCTACTGTTAAGTGCTGTAGAGTCGGTTCCGACCATAGAGACCCTGTATAGGGTTTCCATGGAGCTTCAACTGCTGACCTTGTGCTTCCCAGTTCGGTGTTGATCCTACTGCCCCACACCAACATGGGAAGGCTATGGACAACAGGGAGATTCGTATTTTTCATCTCTTAGGGGAAAAGGTACTAGCTGCTCCAGCCACCCAAAGTAAGTCTCTTCCCTCCAATTTCTGTAGACCAGAAACAAGGTTTTCAAAAGCCACTACTGCAAGGCCTACAAAGAACTACAACTCCCAGGAGTCTGTAGGGCCCGGGCCTTGGCCCCGTCCTGCTCGCCCCAAAGACTTCATTTCCCAGAAATGCCAGTTCTGGGTGGCAGACGGCATTTGCCGGCGCCCCCTCGCGGCGCGCTTCCACTGAGCTTCAGTTCCCGGCGGCCCTCGCGGCAGGTTCCGGGCATAAGGATAGTTCGTGATGGCTGGGGCTGGTTCCGCCGCTGTGTCTGGGGCAGGGACCCCGGTGGCGGGGCCTGCAGGTCGCGACCTCTTCGCTGAGGGACTCCTTGAGTTTCTGCAACCAGCCGTACAGCAGCTCGACTCTCACGTCCACGCAGTCAGGTGCCCAGAGGGTGGGCGGGCCTCGACCGGGTCTTTTAGGGGGCGGGGCCGAGAAAGGGAGGAGCCAAGATGGAGTCTCGCTGGTTGGCGTTCAGACAGGACTAAGAATCAAGTTGGAAAGTGGATTTGAGGCAGGGTAGAATGGGTGGACGACGACACATGGAAGGTTAAGTTGAGCCTCGATTCCCACAGCACTTAAGAAACACATAGAGGAATTCGTTTCATGAGTTCATTAATTGCCTGACTGTGGACCTTGTATTCCTTTACAGAGAGAGTCAGGTAGAACTCCGGGAACAAATTGACAACCTAGCTACAGGTGAGTGAGCATCCTTCAATATTTGGATTTTCTAGCACACCTTCAATACTTCTTGTTTTGCCATTCTCTGGGCTGGGTTTCTGTCGCTTAGTTTCAGGATACCAGGGCTGCCAGTGAACTCCTTCAGGAATGCCTGAGTCTCTAGTGACTGTGGCCTGTGTGGGTGCAAAAGTGTTTTCCAACCCATTACTAGCATACTTTCCCTGAGAATGAGTTAACTCACTGTTTTACTTTACTACGTTCCCAGAACTCTGCCGCATCAATGAGGATCAGAAGGTGGCCCTGGATCTTGACCCTTATGTGAAGAAGCTACTTAATGCTCGGCGAAGAGTTGTCTTGGTCAACAACATTCTACAGAATGCCCAGGTAAAAGAATTTGGTACCAACAGTGATTCTTTGCTGAGTGCTCAGAGTATTCAATTTTAAGGGTGTTGTTAAAATCTACACAATGGAAGTCACAATTATTTTTTTTTAACTCTGGGGAAAGGATTGTCATCTAGTGTCAGCCATGATAGAGCTAATTTTTTTTTCAGTATTTGTTAGATGCTAAGTCGGTTCCAGCTCATAGCACCCCTGTGCACAACAGCACTAAATGCTGCCCCGGGACCTGCACCAGCCTCACAATTGTTATATTTGAGCCCATTGTTAACTGGCTGGCTGTGTGCCGTGGAGTCCGTTCTGACTCATAGCGACCCTGTACAGGGTTTCCGAGGCTGTAAATCTTTACAAGAGCACAACGCCCCATCCTTCTCCCACGGAACAGCTGGTAGTTTGGAATTGTTAACTACCACTGTGTAATGAATATGTTTGCAGCCATTTCTTCCCATTTTGAGTTGTGCCATATCAGCAAACAAATGTCTTGAAAGCTTTGTTCCACCCACATCATTGAAGGTCAACTCAAACAGCAGTTCTTCAGTATTTTGGGTGCCTTCCAACTTGAGGGTCACATTTTCCTACACTATATCTGGCAATGTTCTGCTGCTATTCATAAAGTTTTCAGTGGCTAGCCATTCAGAAATGGCCCTTCTCACCGCCTTTCACTCTTAGTGACCCTGATAGGGTTTCCAAGCAGCAGCTGGTAGTTTGTACCGCCAACCTTGCGGTTCAAACCAAACTTGGGGTCCAGTGCATATCCTACAGCACCATACCACTCCTGGGTAACCCTGTTGTTAATTGCCATTGAGTTGGTTTTGACTCATAGTGATCCTGTATAGGTTTTCCAAATTGTGGCTGGTGAGTTTGAACGTGGTTCAAGCTAACCTTGAAGTCCAGCGCATTACCCCACAGCAGCATGCCAGAACTCTGGGTGACCCTTTGTTTTTAAGTGCCATCTAGTTGATTCTGACCTATAGCAACCCTATGTAGGGTTTCCAAGGAGCAGCTGGTGAGCTTGAACCACTGATCTTACAGTTCAAATGACTGCAGTTTGAGGCATTAGCCCACAGCACCATACCAGGACTGCGCAGTTCTGACTCATAGTGACCCTGTGCAGGGTTTCTGAGGCTGTAAATCTTTATGGGAGCAGAAAGCCTCATCTTTCCCCCATGGAACAGCTGGCAGTTTCAAACTGCTGACCCTTAAGGTTTGTAGCTCCACTACGAGGACTACTGGTATTTAAATACCAGTGGCATAGCTTCTAACATCACAAAACACAAGCCACCACAGTACAATAAACTGATGAGTGGTGGTCTCAATACTTAGTTGCAATTTATGTTCTGTATCTCACTAGAGTCCTGGCGTGGCATTGTGGGAGACCACTAACCCACAAGGTTGGCGGTTCAAACTCACCAGCTGCTCCTTTGAAGCCTTAGAGTCGCTGAGTTGGAACCAACTTGACAGCACTTAACGTTTCAGTACACTTTGAGATGGATCATACATGAAAAATTTTTAAGCATCTAGTTAACAGTGACCTCTAAAAAGCCTTTCAGACAACAGTTATTAAGATACTCAATTGTCTTATAGGAAAGACTGAGGCGGCTAAACCACAGCGTTGCCAAGGAAACAGCCAGGAGGAGAGCAATGCTGGATTCAGGAGTTTACCCTCCTGGTTCCCCAAGCAAGTAGTACAGGCCAGATGAGCCCATGGCCTCAGCATATTACAAGTACTGTTCCCCACTGCCTTGTTTCAGTCATCATGAGAAGACTCCAGGAGACACTTAATCCCTGTTGACCCTGGGAGAGCAAACAGTCTTATGGTTTGTATTTGAAGCACCCATTTGTGTGGGGACCCTAAGCAACTGTACAGGACTCAGGATCCCAAAGGACTTAAAAGACATTATGGTTCTTGCTTTCCTCCAAGAATGATCTAAGACTATTACGTTTGATTTTCTTTTCTTTTTTTTTTTTAAGTATATTCATCTCCTTTCCCTTAATAAGGGCAAGGCTTTCTGTTATGTGCCTGGTTGGTGGGCTTGGGCACATGTCCTCTACCTGACTTCTCATTTTCCTTTGTTTACACTGAGGATTTGGAAGAGGGCAGTCAAAGCCAAGGTGAATGATGCCTATCCACCCTCTTTTATATTGCACTGGCATGAATATAGCAGCAGTGTTGCTAGAACCGTTTAATTCAATAAATATTTCTATCGTACTCTAGATTATGCTATTATGCAAAAAAAGCTCCTAAAAGTCCTTTATACTTACATCTAAATGGCTTCACATTATTTCATATTTATAATGTAAAAACCTATGTAATTTTCAATAAAGATAAGAGAACAAAAGGAAGCTAGGAAGACTGTCAGTTGCCAAGGAAACACAAGACCAAGAACCTTACAGGAAGTATTTAATCGTTTTTCTTAGAAAAAAAATTTTCAATTCACATTTCAACAAAGTACTGGTTGAGAGCAGTTTCCAGGAGATTGGAAATAGGAGAGTTAATAGGAAATGTTGGTATCCTGCTTCTCTACAAATGCATGGCATAGTCACAAATGGAGATTTCAGGCTGCTAAGCCAATACCAGAACCCAGTAGAATTGACACTTGTTCCTTTAGAGTTTAGTTTCCTTCCTATAGTCTCCCCATATCCTACAGAAATGCCACATGTAATGCCCAGTAGCAGCTAACTTAAGCTCCAAGTCTTCCCCTTGAGTAGGAAAGGGGATGAAGAGAGGGTCACTCCTGAGTCTCCATGCTTTCCTCTTCCTCTCCTTGAGGTGGTTCTTCTGTATTCTCCTCTTCCTCTTCTCCTTCCTTTTTCTCTGGTGGCTTCTCATAAGCTTTCTCTGAAGGTGTCACTATCACTCCATCCCAAGTAGATATTTCAGAAGCAAGATCTAAAAAAGTAAAATGATTTCTGACAACTCAAGTTTTAAGTCATGATTTACATGAAATACTAAAATATATGATAGTATATTAACAGCTTCTTTGTAGACCAGAGACTAGAAGCCCCGACCCAGTGATTACTCACAGCTGGCATCACCCTCTTGGCCAAGAATCTTCCTGAAGCCTCCATGTGAAAGGATTCGAACCAGAGTCTGAGCTGTGTAACAGACCATATCCTGAAAAAGAAACATCAAGGGTAATTCATAGGGAGAATAGAGATGACAACTTTTATTCTCAGGACCAGTCTTGGGAAGACCTCTAAAAACCATATTCCATTTGATTTCTGACCAGTATTTAGCAACTCTTCCGGGGCTTATCATCTTGACATTAGGTGGTGTTTCCCTTGAGTTACTAATGTTAACGGGGCCACCAGCTCATTAGCAACTACCCTTGCCTTGACCTACCAGGCCTTACATGTTACTCTATGCTTCTCATATGTTCATATTAATTTATGACAGTAACAAGACAAGCCACAGATAAAAAGCACCCAACAATGAGAAAACAGGCAAAGATGATTTTATTTTTTAAAATGTCTACTGCAACAGGGGAGATAAAACTGGAACTAAGTCTGGGCTCAACTCTGCAGCAGGGTTCTTAAGGGCTTCAGTGGAAAATAATGAAAGATGTTGGGTGATGATTGATGGGATGAGCTACTAAGTTCGCAATAAGGGCTGTTTGGCTCCAATTGTTATTTTTTTCTGATTCAGCTACCTGAAAATTCCTAAGGGATGAGGGGTAAAGGAGGTAGTAGCTAAGGGATTCTCTGACTGGGCACCTGGAACAGTGAAAGAGGGTAGTCAGAGGTCTAAGGTCAAAAGGAAGCCCCTATAAAGTTTAATTAAGCAAAGGAGAATGTAATGGTCATCTTGGTCACAAAATATCAAGAGACTTTGTATCTTTAATTAAGATAAAACCCATGCACATTTGGTGTCTTGTTTCTGTCATTTTTAATGCTAATTTTAGATAAAAACAATAAAGAGTTGATTACAATGAAAACTAATGTAAAGATCTGGAGAATCACACATTAGAGAAGTCCATGAGAAATATACATGCATACTTTCCTTTCCAGCATTCTCTTTAAGAACACTGCTTCCTGTAGGGGGTAGGGTGTTTCATGAGCTAATACTTGAGATTCTTATCTGTGGGCTTTAGGATTTTCCTGTCAGCTATATTCACAACCCAGCCTGGAGCCAAGCCCAAAGATACCAGCCAACACAATACCTGCTGTTCCAGGGTCATGACTGTGTGTACTCTGAAGTTGCCACTCTCACAGGGATCAGTGATACCCACTGAACCCGGCAGGAACAATCCTGCAGCCAGTATCTGTAAGCAACGCCTGAAATACAATGGGGAGTATTAAAGGAAGGCACAAAACAATTTACAACCAGCCCAAACCCAACAAAGCAGGCTATACCTGTATGCCACGTTGAGGGCCAAAGGTTGTCTGGTGGGGTTGTTCATCACAGCATAGTGCCCCTGAAAAACAATAAATCTGGTAAGCATGCTACCATAAATGGCAGTTCTATCTTCAAACTAAACTTTTATCATAAAATTTGGTCACTAGGGTTTAGTCAAAATTTCATGCTGAAATGTAATTCTGCAGTGGCTGTTGAGAGTAATCTCCAGTATCACAAGAAAGGCTGTCCCCAGGTCATAACATGTCCTACAAACAACTCCCACTTGCCCTTTAATGCAGGGCTACAAACCAACTGTCATAGCAGACAAAGCCAAACAGGAACAGATCAGAATTTTTATAATTTGGGAAATTTGTCATGGTACCAGAACAATAAACATTAAGGGGTTGAAGCACTGAAAAGGAATACTTGGAAGAAGCACTGAAAAGGAATAATCCAATCTGCATGAGATTGGATTATTAGCAGGATTATAGAGTCCACACCCATTTAAACTGTTAATGTTGGCCACTATCTTTGAAGCTCCACTTTGAATGACTGAACCAACCCTTGCAACAACTTCTTCACAATCACCTTCACTTGCTGCATATGCAGCTTTTGAACCACTGGAAAGGCTATAAGCCTTTTCTTGCACTAAAGCAAGAATGACAGGCACCTTTTCTGACTGACCTACAAATTCTTAAAAACAGATCTCATCATTTGTTAACACAGAGACTGTCTGTAATGAACTGATGGCAGTCATGAAAGAACACTATACTCAATAACTACATATTTAATTTAATACTCCTGAGAGGTTTCAGAATAATTATAGTTACATAAGCGTGGTCAAGAACTGCACTTTACCTACCAATAGGTCAAGAATCCAAGGTGTGAGGGGTTCAAAGCCAGGAAAACGAATCCTCAAATCCTTCAGCAGTCTAATGAGAACTTTAACTCTGAAGGTAAAAGAAATCCAGAGATTAAAAGTAATAAAAGCATGTACTTCCACACCTAAAGTACAGTTGAAACATACTCTATACTATTTCTACAACTACATGTTCTTTCTGTCTAAATGTATGTTAAGTGAGGGGGGATTAAAAATCTAGACAGATCACAGCCAAAATAACAACTGACAAAAAGAAATGGGGGAACCTGTTTTTCACTGTAGTTGGGGGGTGGGGGTGGGGGTTGGCAATCTTAAATATTCAGGAGGGACTACTCACGTGGACTGAGAAGCATTTTCCTCAAACCAGCGGGCATGCCGGATAGCGGCTAAGGCACTCTGCAGCACCTTGATATCCACTAGAAGACAAGGAAAGACAAAACATCCCTATCACTGAGCAAACATCAAATCCAATGACCACAGTCCAAGAACTTGGGAGACCTGTGTAACTTCCTTAAACCACTCCATGTTCAAATTAGTAAATTACTAGTCTGAGAAATCACTATTTCTTCCCCAAACCAACTCCAGAAACATGCAAAAGTTCATGATTTTCTCTAAAATCCTATCTCCCCCAATAAATACTTCCCAGCCCTTTTTTGGTAAAATCTCAAACTGCATTCATGTCCATTCTGTCTTTGAAAATTTCACTCTCTCTCAATTCCCAGAACAATTCATGTGGAACAGCAACAAGCTAAGTAAACTCAATAATCAATGTGTTTCATTTTTCCCAACTTTTCCAGCAATGGAAAAAGTGACTAACAATGGAGTTCTGGGTCTAGTTTTCGCAGATTGGGTGGTACTGTTGTAATAAGAATCTTCACTGTAGCATCAGAAGAACTGATCTCAAAGCCAGTTTCATTGGTCAGCATGGTCAAAACTGAAAGAAGGAAACAAAAAAAAAAAAACCGACAATGATTACATTTCCATTAAGTGACCAAACAGGTGGGGTTTTTTAAACCAGCAACAAGAGTCCACAATAAGAATTTAGAATACAGAGCTTAGAAGAGCAGAGTGATCAACTAGATTTGGAATGCCCTGAGGTCCCTGACAAACCTGTCCCAAAATAACTCTTACTTTTCCATGCAGCCTGATACAACTTTGTTAAAAGTGAATGTAATTACACTTCAAAATGTAATTAATTAACTTTGGCTCCTATAACCACTAAAATAATTTTCAACAACAAACTCAAACCTTCAGAGGGATCCTGTGCTCTTAGGCTTTCCACAACTTTGTTCCCCAGGGCAGCAACAGCTTCCACTAGATGAGAGAAAAGGAAATAGTAAATGTTGGCATGTCTAGTTACATTTATTTTCACAGGGTAGCTTTTTTAAAAGAAAAATTTATGTAGACTTTTCAAGCTTTTAAAGAAGTTGGTGGGCTCACTGAACAGTTAGTTACTTCCTAAACTCTCCC